TTTTTATAGTACTGTACCCTGCATCTCACAAACTTGTCCTTTGTCTCTGTGATACTGTAATTCTTGTTCTTTGTTGATATGAACCTGCAACCTGTCAAAATCTATTGAGCAGTCAGTACTATTAACAAATGGAAAGCACAATGTTCAGGGCCATACAATTTGTCCATTGTACAGTATACAGCCTACAATGCACTGTACTACAGTATACAATACTAAAAGGGACAAAAATCAAAAGAGTAAACATGTGATCAATGTGCTTCTTCTTGTCTTTGGGCTGGGTCAGGCCAGAGCACTTCGTCGACATCACAAGCAATATTGTCCCTCCTGAGGCAACGGGGGAAGAAGCCTCTTGTGTGCCGTATCCAGCCCTGACATGATTCCTCACTGATATCACCACAGGCTAAATCCATGGCTTGCAGCAGATTACTCTGGTGTAGGGTTGTCTATCATACACTTTCCATCTCCAAGAGGAGAAAAACTCCTCAATCGGATTCAGGAAAGGCGAGTATGGAGGGAGGTACAAGTTCATAAACTGCCCATTGATGTTTCTGAATGCTCACACTGTCGATTCCCTGGAAGTGTGTGTTGTCTTGTATCACTCGTTCCTGGATTTCTCTGAGTCGTATTGCATTATCTTGAAGGACCATGCCAACTATAACGGCCTCTTGCTCCCGAGTGAATATAGCTGTCCTTCCACCTGCATGTGGCAGCCTTGCAATTCTACAAAAAGTAGTTGTGCAGTTACAAAACATATTCATGCAGTACAATACATACAGTGATTAACTTTACAAATGTCTATTGAAACAGCTGCATATAGTGTAGTACAGTAAATTTGCAATTACAAAGATACAGTATAGTACCGGTTCTCTTCTCTGAATGTCCTTACTATGGTGGACACAGAAAATCGGCTCAAATTGGGTTGCACTCTAAGTCCTGCTTCCCTCATTGTCAGTCCATGGACAAGAACATGGTCTATGACTGTTGTTCGAATTTCATCAGATATTTCCACTCTTTGTCTTCCTCTTCGTCCTCCTCTTCCTCTTTCTTGCCCTCCTCCTCCTCGTCCTCCTCGTCGCCCACCTCGCATACGCACTTGTCCTCGTCGTCTCACATTGTTTCTTCTATCCATTCTCAGACTTTCTCCTTCCCACCTTCAACAACCTGTTTGCTCTCTGAACTGGCTTATATTGGTTGTGTTGCATCATTTGAAACAGGTTAAATTAATTTTGAGTGTTTCTGTTCAGTCAATGACATGTGTTCTCTATTTGTATTTGATTGTTGCCACTTGTGTTTACCAGTATGGATGACATGTGCATTAGAGTGCAGAAGGTGTTTTGAGAATGAGAATGTGTTTAGAGTTTTGCTGAAAAGTCTAAGTGAGATCTGCAAATTGTGTTTTACCATGTGAAATGGTTTAAGGTATTGACAACAGACTGCATAATTAGCTAAATGAGTCCAGGCAACTGAGAACTTTGTTCAGCCAATGGGTTTTAGTGTTTTAGCAATTGAGAAAAACTGTATTCATTGAGAAGCACTCTGTTCAGTCATGCAGAAACGGACTGCAGGTGATGATTATGATGTAATAATGGCTGTGTGTGGGTGGATCATAGAAATATAATTAATAGAAAGGGCGTCTCCAGACACTTTAATGATTTCATAATGGGTGGACTGGCAGCCATTTTGAGTGTACCCATGCCAGGAAGTAAAAGCTAGGTTGAGGATGATGAAGGTTAAGACAACGGGATTCTAATATCCCATAACTCTTTGCAACAATGGGACCAGCTATGCTAGTTAGCAATGGCACTGGTGGTTAGCAACGGCCCTGATCCCAGATTAGTGACGACTTTGATTTAGCCTGTATATTTTCGACCTAGAATAAAAGCAGAAAGTGTACCCTTCAATCTGTGCTGTGATTTGTTAACTCAACTGACATTGCAAAAAATACATTCCATTGCAGGAGCCACATCAGAGGCGAGTTCAACAAGGCTTCTGTTTGCGGCGAACATGTTGCCAGAGTAACAATTTCAGTTGAACAATTTGAATGAACGTTCCAAAGTGTTGTGGTGAAACATCAAACAGCTACTTTTTGTAAGGATTACTGTGGCTTTTTAGCAACAATATTCAAACTGAAAATGACTTAGCTATTTTTACTAAAGTCTACATGGCCACTTGATTATTTTTAGCGCCATTTTAGACCCGAAAACAGACACTTACGTTCGCTGCACACTACCTTCTCAGACTGTTCGCTAACGTTAGCGAACAGTCGCGGCTAACACAAAACAAATGGAATATGTTAGCTAACGTTAGCCAATGTTCGCAAACTATTTCCATTGTTGAACGTACCTCTGTTAGCATAATTTGAATGACCATTCTACATTACCATGACAATCCAGCATTAGTTGATAGAACATTCCAAAATACCATGGAAATGATTGCATCACAATACCAGGCAGCCATTGTGAGTTTACCAGTCAAATTACCAGGGTTAGAACTTCCAAGCCCGTTCTATTCATTCTATTTATATGCAGTGGATAGCTTCATGTGATTGTCCACTGTTGAGCTGGTCCCTCTCTAACTACATGGGGGCTAGTGTAGTTAGGCCCCTCTCCAATTCTTTGCTGTTCTTTACAGCCAAATATCTAGTTTGAAAAGATTGGAATATTGTCCAAACTCCTTGGCGGTCACTGAATTATGCACCAGACAGGCATCAAGATGTGTCAATAGTTGAAGATGGAGGAAGTGATTTGGAGCCAATGGGTTGAGTAGCTCCATATTTACCAGACTGATCCTTCATCCAGAACCATCCACATATTTTCTAACATTGGGGACTGCTAGAAGGAAACCAGGGCATGAATATAATACAGTCAATTTTGTGAAGTTGGTATTTGTTACAAAAAATGTCTGAGGGACAGTGCTTGACTTGGGCAGGAGCTCACCAGAACCGAGTACCGGCACCTCAAATGTTCTACTGTTTCAGTTCCTGCACATCTGATAGAATATTAGCTAAAAAGTATTGTGTTCCTGTAGTATTGAGTTCCTGCACCTAAATATAAACAGAACTGGCACTCAAAATGAGTACCGGCACCTATTTCAGTCCAAGTCAAGCACTGCTTAGGGGGTAGTACCGAACCCAACCTGTCAGCGCTACCGCAATGGTACTACCACCATCTAGTGTTGGTGTCCTGTATTACAGAAATTCCCAGCACAGTCCTGAGGTAGTCTGGTGTTATTTCGATACTGTAATTTTGTGATAATTCAAAATGGCAGAGAAATGTATATCCACTTGAAAAGTCTTGGCAGTCAGTAAAGACAACGAGATAATCATTCTACTGTCTATGTCCTTCCAGTGTCCACTCTCGTCTCCCTCAAGCATTGCTCTCCTGTCCTCTATAAAGAAATATGTTTTATTCTAAATACCTTTGTACCTCTTAGTTATGACAAAACAAGCAAGGTCTTTAGTGAGGGAATTCCAATGCCCTGCATGTTTGAGTCAGCATTTCACTGCTGTGATTGTAACTGTTGACATACTGAACCTGTATGACTACTTCCTCAAAACAAGACGTTCTTTTGACTTCCTCCTTCTGATGTCATAGGACTTTCACTACATCCTCTTTTACATTCATTCATTTACAGGTCACGAACAATGGAATGAGAACATTTCCAGAACTGGAATTTCACTGATTCCATAACAGAGATAAAAGACAACGGAGGTCCTCTGTAGCTCAGCTGGTAGAGCACGGCGCTTGTAACGCCAAGGTAGTGGGTTCGATCCCCGGGACCACCCATACACAAGAAAAATGTATGCACGCATGACTGTAAGTCGCTTTGGATAAAAGCGTCTGCTAAGTGGCATATTATATTATTTATTATATGTTTGTTGGTGACAGATGGGAATTTGAGAATGAACCAGTGATTGACATCTCAGTGCTTTTGTCATTTGCTGATCTTTGTTTTGCAATCTTTAGATAGCTATTCATGACAATATATCACAATTAATATAATTTTGAATTTCGTATGCATTTATAAGAACATGCTTACTGGCAACTCTGGCCTGAACACTCAAAGGAGCAAGTGAATGATCACTAACTTCCAATAAAAAAACTCCCCAAAAAGAAAAAGTAGAAAAGGTAGAAAAAGGTAGAAACTGTACTTTGAGACCATCATCCTGTAGTTGGCCAGGTAGAACTAATATACAACCATCAAAGCCAGATCAATGTAAGTTTCAATTTAATCTTTACATGTAGGCCCTTACATGTATATTTAACTCATACAAAGTGAATGCAATGTATGCCATACAAGGCCTATTGAATAGGTGTGTTTTTATAAGAAGCACTGTGAGTGATCCACCCACTGGTGACCTCTCATGGTGTAGTGTCCTCAACAGTTACTACATCCTCCCACTGGTGACCTCTCATGGTGTAATGTCCTCAACAGTTACTACATCCACCCACTGGTGACCTCTCATGGTGTAGTGTCCTCCACAGTTACTACATCCACCCACTGGTGACCTCTCATGGTGTAGCGTCCTCCATAGTTACTACATCCACCCACTGGTGACCTCTCATGGTGTAGTGTCCTCAACAGTTACTACATTCAACCACTGGTGACCTCTCATTGTGTAGTGTCCTCAACAGTTACTACATCCACCCACTGGTGACCTCTCATGGTGTAGTGTCCTCCACAGTTACTACATCCACCCACTGGTGACCTCTCATGGTGTAGTGTCCTCCACAGTTACTACATCCACCCACTGGTGACCTCTCATTGTGTAGTGTCCTCAACAGTTACTACATCCACCCACTGGTGACCTCTCATGGTGTAGTGTCCTCCACAGTTACTGTACAATATCTTCTCTATCTGTCTGCTTCATTAGTCATTGTGCTGTCCAAGGTTCCTCTTCCTTTCACCACTCATACCACACAAGATTAACACACAAAACAAGTGAGAATTCTTAGGAAAATATAACATATTTATTATAGATATCAAATGTTACATTAACAGTTAAATACAACAGATGTGATCAATGATCTGATCATTAACAAGACCTTTATGAATAAAAGGGTTAAAACATGTGTGATTTCAGGATGTTTGCGTTCTCCTCCGTCCATGAAGAAAGGAACTCGAACTCTTCATCCCGAATACGCTTGTGATGAATACTATGCCAATGACTTTTTCTTGTTCAAGCCTTCTGCTCTCTCCCTGTAGAGAAGAAATAAAGTTATATCATCCATTTCTTACAATCATCTTTTTACCCAATATCCTTATGATGAACCCTACACACACTATGTCAGTATAATTCAATTTGATGAAACCAAATATTTATTTCCTGATTAAATGTTAATTAATTCTTACCTTAGCTTGCGAACAGCTTCCATAACCCATCCCTTGGTGGGATCCACACATGGGAATCTCGCTCTGACAGTGTGGAAACTGGAAGAGAACATGTTGAAGAGACACCATCAGTCAATCATTAGTGCTTTATAGGCTTACATCTTCATAATATCACAATGCAATATCACATTGCAAATGAATCAATGCAAATAATATCAAGTTATCAAATTGTATTACTTCTGTAATAAAATTATTTGATACTTAATTATATACTGAAATTAATGAAATAATACATATATTACAATTTATATTTTCATTTTACTTGCAATTTGTCTCAGATATACTAAGCACAGTTCTACTTTTAGGCCTTCCAAAGTCACTCACATGATAGCATCAATGTTGCACTCGTCATTCACTGTCTGTACAGAAAAGCCACGGATGAGACGAATGTCTATCTTTCCCTTGGAGTAATGCGTACAGCAGCCTTTAGGAAAACCTATTGGGAAAAAATACAAGAAATGTTATCTTGCTTAGGAATTAAAAAACACAATTAGCAAAAAACTTGGAGAGAGGGAGACAGAGGCATACAGACAGACAGACAGATAGACTAAGACAAACTGTCACAGCAGAATATTGACCTTGTTTAGCTGCAGAAGCTTCAGTAGTGAACAGCCCCACAGCCAGGAGCACAAGCAGCACTATCACAGCAGCTCTGATCTGGGACATCTCTTCTTCTGTGGTGCTGTGGTTAGTGATGAGCTGAGCTGAGTTGCTGTCTTCAGAAAGAGAGCTTTAGTGGCTGTGTGAGGTTCTATTCATCACCGGAGCCATATATATACTCCTGGTGCAGGTGGAAACTTATTCTCTGAGAGGTGAAATGGGCTTTCCTACCCACGCCTTAACACCAAAGTCCCACGGCAGAATTTCCCCATCACTTTCCCCAATGAGCAAAAAAGGGAAACAAGATTCTTGAACAGAACAAGAGGGAGGACTGTTTGAACACAACGTATTCTGAGGTGATTCAAATGCACTAAAATGTCATACTAGAATGTCTAACCTGTACCCCCGCACATTGACTCTGTACCGGAACCCCCTCATTATTGTTATTTTACTGTGTTACTTTTTATTTTATTTTGTACTTTATTTTATTTATTAAATAATTTCTTAACTCTATTTATTAAACTCTATTGTTGGTTAAGGGCTTGGACCCCCCCCCCCCCCCCCCCCCCCCCCCCCCCAAACGGCTTAGAATTTTAGAGGTTTTATCACCTTTGCTGTGATTATGTGTGTATGTGTAACCATGTACCCACATCTGTGAAACCACAGCAGATCATATCAACATAGAACATACTGTATTTACAGTTATCAGATGTATCAGTTGGTCTAGAAGGAAGCACAGTGCATTGTGCGCCACACAGAGGAGGCTGATGTAAGGAGCTATAGGAGGACGGGCTCATTCTAATGGCCGAAATTGAATTAATAGAATGGTACCAAACACATCAAACACATGGAAACCACATGTTTGACTCTGTTCCATTGATTCCATTCCAGCCATTACAATGAGCCTGTCCTCCTAAAGCCCCTCTCACCAGCCTCCTCTAGCGTCACGTTGATAAAGTCTATTGAGTCAAACCAAGGAACTGCCCCTGTTTGTGGCCTATGAAGCAGTGAAAGGGCACATTTGGGATGGTGATATTGATCAGAAAATATGTTATCCGTTAGATAGCAAACAAACAAAGAAAATCACCAAAGAACCAGGAAATAACTTTGATTTCACAACAGGCTGAGTGTTGCACTGAGGATGACCAAGAACTTTTCTTACAAAACGTTTGATGACTATGATGACATAATGACCCCAGGGCTCTGAGTTCTAATTCCTAATTCTAGAGCTCTGACTGATGGTCAACATTCCATACTAGAGGAACATTCCTCGAACCTGTCAAGCAGGGGAAATACAAATGGAAACTTTAAAAGGGAACTTTCAGGTGTGACTTTGTTTGGGAAGTAAATGCACACCTCAGTGAAAAACAATAGAGGAATTAAATCTCATATCTGATAAATCTAATTGTCACGTCTGTGTGTGTGTGTGTGTGTGTGTGTGTGTGTGTGTGTGTGTGTGCGTGTGTGTGTGTGTGTGTGTGTGTGTTTGTGTGTGTGTGTGTGTGTGTGTGCGTTGTGCATGTGTGTGTGTGTCTGTGTCTTTGTCTGTGTAACTTAGACCTCATGCACTGTCGTGCATGGCTGTGGGCTGTTGTGTGTAGGTTTTCTTGATAATATGGTTATTTTCTAGATCAGAGGAACACATAAAATGTATTGATGCCCTCAGCTCAAAGGGGGAAAAGTGTTTCTGTGACAACTAAATAGGTCATGACGAAGGGGTCATGTGAGGGAAACAAACAAGAAATAAGAACAACTTGAGCGTGCATAACTATTCACCCACCCAAAGTCAATACTTTGTAGAGCCACCTTTTGCAGCAATTACAGCTGCAAGTCTCTTGGGGTATGTCTCTATAAGCTTGGCACATCTAGCCACTGGGATTGTTGCCCATTCTTCAAGGCAAAACTGCTCCAGCTCCTTCAAGTTGGATGGGTTCCGCTGGTGTAGAGCAATCTTTAAGTCATACCACAGATTCTCAATTGGATTGAGGTCTGGGCTTTGACTAGGCCATTCCAAGACATTTAAATGTTTCCCCTTAAACCACTCAAGTGTTGCTTTAGCAGTATGCTCAGGGTCATTGTCCTGCTGGAAGGTGAACCTCCGTCCCAGTCTCAAATCTCTGGAAGACTGAAACGTTTTCCTCAAGAATTTCCCTGTACTTAGCGCCATCCATCATTCCTTCAATTCTGACCAGTTTCCCGGTCCCTGCCAATTAAAAACATCCCCACAGCATGATGCTGCCACCACCATGCTTCACTGTCGGGATGGTGTTCTCGGGGTGATGAGAGGTGTTGGGTTTGCGCCAGACATAGTGTTTTTCTTGATGTCCAAAAAGCTCATTTTTAGTCTCATCTGACCAGAGTACCTTCTTCCATATGTTTGGGGAATCTCCCACATTACTTTTGGCGAACACCAAACGTGTTTGCTTATTTTTTTCTTTAAGCAATGGCTTTTTTCTGGCCACTCTTCCATAAAGCCCAGCTCTGTGGAGTGTACGGCTTAAAGTGGTCCTATGGACAAATACTCCAATCTCCGCTGTTGAGCTTTGCAGCTCCTTCAGGGTTATCTTTGGTCTCTTTGTTGGCTCTCTGATTAATGCCCTCCTTGCCTGGTCCATGAGTTTTGGTGGGCGGCCCTCTCTTGGCAGGTTTGTTGTTGTGCCATATTCTTTCCATTTTTTTATGGGATGTTCAAAGTTTTGGATATTTTTTTATAACCCAACCTTGATCTGTACTTCTCCACAATTCTGTCCCTGACCTGTTTGGAGAGCTCCTTGGTCTTCATGGTGCCGCTTGCTTGGTGGTGCCCCTTGTTTAGTGGTGTTGCTAACTATGGGGCCTTTCAGAACAGGTGTATACAGTTGAAGTCGGAAGTTTACATACACTTAAAACTTGTTTTTCAACCACTCCACAAATTTCTTGTTAACAAACTATAGTTTTGGCAAGTCGGTTAGGACATCTACATTGTGCATGACGTAAGTAATTTATCCAACAATTGTTTACAGACAGATTATTTCACTTATAATTCACTGTATCACAATTCCAGTGGGTCAGAAGTTTACATACACTAAGTTGACTGTGCCTTTAAACAGCTTGGAAAATTCCAGAAAATGATGTCATGGCTTTAGAAGCTTCTGATAGGCTAATTGACCTCATTTGAGTCAATTGGAAGTGTACCTGTGGATGTATTTCAAGGCCTACCTTCAAACTCAGTGCCTCTTTGCTTGACATCATGGGAAAATCTAAAGAAAACAATTGTAGACCTCCACAAGTCTGGTTCATTCTTGGGAGCAATTTCCAAACGCCTGAAGGTACCACGTTCATCTGTACAAACAATAGTAAGTATAAACACCATGGGACCACGCAGCCGTCATACCGCTCAAGAAGGAGACACGTTCTGTCTCCTAGAGATTAACGTACTTGGGTGCGAAAAGTGCAAATCAATCCCAGAACAACAGCAAAGGACCTTGTGAAGATGCTGGAGGAAACAGGTACAGAAGTATCAATATCCACAGTAAAACGAGTCCTATATCAACATAACCTGAAAGGCCGTTCAGCAAGGAAGAAGCCACTGCTCCAAAACCGCCATGAAAAAGCCAGACTACGGTTTGCAACTGCACATGGGGACAAAGATCATACTTTTTGGAGAAATGTCCTCTGGTCTGATGAAACAAAAATAGAACTGTTTGGCCATAATGACCATCGTTATGTTTGGAGGAAAAAGGGGGTGGCTTGCAAGCCGAAGAACACCGTCCCAACCGTGAAGCACGGGGGTGGCAGCATCATGCTGTGGGGTTGCTTTGCTGCAGGAAGAACTGGTGCACTTCACAAAATAGATGGCATCATGAGGAAGGAAAATTATGTGGATATATTGAAGCAACATCAAGACATCAGTCAGGAAGTTAAAGCTTGGTCGTAAATGGGTCTTCCAAATGGACAATGACCCCAAGCATACTTCCAAAGTTGTGGCAAAATGGCTTAAGGACAACAAAGTCAAGGTATTGGAGTGGCCATCACAAAGACCTGACCTCAATCCTATAGAAAATGTGTGGGGAGAACTGAAAAAGCGTGTGCAAGCAAGGAGGCCTCAAACCCGACTCAGTTACACCAGCTCTGTCAGGAGGAATGGGCCAAAATTCACCAAACTTATTGTGGGAAGCCTGTGGAAGGCTACCCAAAATGTTTGACCCAAGTTAAACAATTTAAAGGCAATGCTACCAAATACAAATTGAGTGTATGTAAACTTCTGACCCACTGGGAATGTGATGAAAGGAATAAAAGCTTAAATAAATCATTCTCTCTACTATTATTCTGACATTTCACATTCTTAAAATAAAGTGGTGATCCTAACTGACCTAAGAAAGGGTTGTAAGGTCCCTCAGTCGAGTAGTGAATTTCAAACACAGATTCAACCACAAAGACCAGGGAGGTTTTCCAATGCCTCGCAAAGAAGGTCTCCTATTGGTAGATGGGTCAAAATAGAAAAAGCACACATTGAATATCCCTTTTAGCATGGTGGTTATTAATTACAATTTGGATGGTGTATCAATACACCCAGTCACTACAAAGATACAGGCGTCCTTTCTAACTCAGTTTCCGGAGAGGAAGGAAACCGCTCAGGGATTTCACCATGAGGCCAATTGTGACTTTAAAAAAGGTACAGAGTTTAATAATGGTTGTGATAGGAGAAACCTGAGGATGGATTAAAAACATTGTAGTTACTCCACAATACTAACCTAAATGACAGAATTAAAATATTAAAGTAAAACTGCAAAAGATGCAGCAAAGATATTCACTTTATGTCTTGAATACGAAGCGTTACATTTGTGGCAAATCCAATACAACACATCACTGAGTACCACTCTTCATATTTTTAAGCATAGTGGTGGCTGCATCATGTTATGGGTTACTATTGTAGTGTGTACAACCTGCGCAAAAACCTAAGCAGAGCTCATGCCTTTCAAGCAACTTTTTTCAAAGCATCATTAGAGTCTCATCATGTGGCCTTACAGTGTATTAAAAATCAAAGAATATAGCCCAACACTTGTAGAACAACTAAAGTTACATTAATAAATCTAAATTAAGCATATAGGAGTACCTATTTCTTTGTTAACCACTCAACACAGAATAGCCGCATGTGCGCACTCCCTCAAATCGTTTGGAGAAAATATTTCTATTTTATTCAGCTTTGTTCAATTGTATTCTTCATACTATAAAATAATATAAAATAATGCCACGGAATTTTAAGCAAATCCTGCCTGCTAAATATACTAGTGTGGCCCACAGCCATTTAGCATAGCCACTTCAGGACCTAACATGAGGACAACTCAGAGTATGCCTTTTCTTTTCTTCTGCAATAGACTACATTTTCTTCATATCATGCTTCTTTAGACCTGTCTAAAATAAATAAAGGATTTAAGGTGTAGGCTATATTACATGGATTTTTTAGACTTTTTAAAATGGCTTGTAGGCTATGTGTGGAAGCCAGGAGATGCAAAATGTGTTTGTCAATTAACGGTCAATTACCGTGAGACTGACAGTTATTTGCTTGACAATCACCGGCTGACGTAATTTCGTGACCGCCACAGCCCTATATGGGTATGTTTGTTATCGGCAAGGACTAGGGAGTTTTTTGGGACAAAAAGAAATAGAATACAGGTAAGCACAGGCAAAATCCTAGAGGAAAACCTGGTTCAGTCTGCTTTCCAACAGACAGTGGGAGACAAATTCATCTTTCAGCAGGACAATAACCTAAAACACAAGACGACGTTGAATGTTCCTGAGAGGCCTAGTTACAGTTTTGACTATAATCAGATTCAAAATATATGGCAAGACTTGAAAATGGCTGTCTAGCAATGATCAACAACCAACTTGACAGAGCTTGAAGAATTTTATAAAGAATAAAATGCAAATATTGTACAATCCAGGTGTGCAAAATTTACCCAGAAAGACTCACAGCTGCAATCGCTGCCAAACGGGATTCTAACATGTATTGACATAGGGGTGTGAATACTTATGTAAATGAGGTATTTCTGTATTTCATGTTCAATACATTTGCAAACATTTCTAAAAACATGTTTTCACTTCTTCTTTATGGGGTATTCTATGTAGATGGGTGAGAAAAAACCGATTGAATCCATTTTGAATTCAGGCTCTAGCACAACAAAATGTGGAATAAATCAAGGGGTATGAATACTTTCTGAAGGCACTGTAATCCTACATAGGCCTTCTAATCACAATGGACTTATTGTGTTTGAATTGAACACTCAAACTTAGTTTTAAGGTTACTTGTATATCACATCACATTGTCACACAATCCCAACGTTATGTAATCCTCTATTATGCAATGATAACATCTTCCTTAAAATTTTGCTGACACTCATCAACATATAGTTGCCGTAAATTCTTGATGCGGGCCCAGAGTGGAAGGGGGTTTACCAAGGTACCAACAATGCGGCCTGTGTGTCGTACTTCCCTGACCCAAATACATGTCAAGACTGAAGTTTCCACCGCTGGGTCTGCGGTCCAGAAAAGGGCATCATATTTCCAACTGTGAAAGTATTTAAACTACAATGCCAGATAATCTTGGTATCTCATTCTGATGACAGTTCCAGGTATCTGCTGAACTTCACTGCCTGCCTAGACCTCTGAACCTGACAAGATGTCAAAGCTTGCTGTGACTCTCTCTACTCTGCTCCTGCTGCTGGTGGCACTGATGACTCTGGGTGAAACTAGTAAGTAGGACATGAACTGTCATCTAATGTGCTGTTCACTGCCATCAATGTGGGCTTAGTCAAGTTTAAGCTACTCTCTTGAGTTTCCCACTTAGTTTTACTTTTAAAATGATAATTGTATTTTTGTCTTATCTTAACGTATGTCTTAATATCTGTGATGTTTGTGTTGTACAGGTCCTCTGAAAATAGATATGCACAAGAACGCACAGAACACAAAATGCTGCACAGAATACCAAAAGGACCCCATCCCCAAGATGAGGCTGAGAGAGTACGCAATCCAACATATCAGAGGGAGATGTAACATCAAGGCTGTGATGTAAGTATACAGCTATATCAAGTCTTTAAACAGAAGAAATAGGCTTTTTGCGTGCTTATTCCTCCCATTAACTATGGTAGAGAGCATTACAAACTAACTACAACTAGGAAGAGCAGATGTATCATTCAGTTCTTTCCTGTTTTCTAATATTTTTTTTTAGAAGAGATCATTTTCTGAATGTTCAAGTGAATCTTTTACAGCAGTGGGCTACAGTAAATCAGAGGTCACACAGAGTGTTTCTTTGTGGTCTTAAACAAATCTACATGGAAACAACAGTATACATCTCACACACATTATAGGCTTAAAAAAAAGAAGACACCTGTACCGTGTCAGATATAGAGTTGAAATGTATTACATTTTGAGTTTGTGTCCCAGTATTACACTTTATATACATCACAGAAGACTGAAATATGACAAAAAACGTTTGACATAGAAACACCAGATTGTCGGCTGCTTTAATTGTTATTAATTATGAAATTATGAAAAATATGAATAACATTTCACTCATGAGGCAACTAGGTGATTTGACTGCAGGAAAGGGCTACCAGGCACATTTAGGGATTGATTGTTGAAAGTGATGTAAGGAATGTCAATGTTTCTAAATCATTCTCTCCTCTCTCTCATAGATTCACCACTGTGAAAAGGGATTGGGACAGACCTGTCTGTGCCGACCCCAACCAGCAGTGGGTACAGGATGCCATTAAACACATCAAGTAAGCTTAATTAGTTGTATTTTATTATATGTCATAATATTATTTTGCTGTAACTGAAGAATACAGAAAAACGTGTAAACTCAAAATACAATGAAATACATGCATTGTTCTCTCATTGTGAAGGTCATGAATAGCATTGTAATAAACTGTAGGCTATGGTTAACTATAATGTACTCTATTATTTTCTTACTAAGGACCAAAAGGATGGCAGCCTGAAGATCATCATCTGATTGGCTGATGACAGACATGACACAAGGCTTCTTTAGTTACTGTTTGAGTGTGGAAAGTACAGTACTCAGTGGTGTGATGCAAATGTTCAGTACAATAAATAATATTGTATCTATTTTTATAATAAATTGTTATTTTTTCATCATGGTGTGGTTCACTGAATGCAACATTAATCTCCATTTTAGATTCAGATGGAACCTAAGTAAATGCTGTATTCTGGTATATAATTCAGTAGTAAATCACATATATCTTTACACCCAGAATTTCACTGAAACTGTCTCATAGGAATCATCACTGTGGCATTGTGAAGGACTCTCTGACCAATCAGGTTGTCTGCATTTTCCTTCACATCACTGAAGTGCTGTCGCATCTCTCTGATCTGTTCATGGTCAGACAACATGCAACTGGAGTAAGCCTCTCTTACTTCCCATTTATGAAACGTATTACTTATTATACAGTGCCATGGCAAAGTATTCATCCCCCTTGGCGTTTTTCCTATTTGTTGCATTACAACCTGTAATTTAAATGGATTGTTATTTGGATTTCATGTAATGGACATACACAAAATAGTCCAAATTGGTGAAGTGAAATGAAAAAAATAACTTGTTTCAAAAAATTCAAATAAATAAATAACAGAAAAGTGGTGCGAGCATATGTATTCACCCCTTTGCTATGAAGCACCTAAATAAGATATGGTGCAACCAATTACCTTCAGAAGTCACATAATTAGTTAAGTAAAGTACACCTGTGTGCAATCTAAGTGTCACATGATCTGTCACATGATCTCAGTATACAGTGGGGAGAACAAGTATTTGATACACTGCCGATTTTGCAGGTTTTCCTACTTACAAAGCATGTAGAGGTCTGTAATTTTTTATCATAGGTACACTTCAACTGTGAGAGACGGAATCTAAAACAAAAATCCAGAAAATCACATTGCATGATTTTTAAGTAATTAATTTGCATTTTATTGCATGACATAAGTATTTGATCACCTACCAACCAGTAAGAATTCCGGCTCGCACAGACCTGTTAGTTTTTCTTTAAGAAGCCCTCCTGTTCTCCACTCATTACCTGTATTAACTGCACCTGTTTGAACTCGTTACCTGTATAAAAGACACCTGTCCACACACTCAATCAAACAGACTCCAACCTCTCCACAATGGCCAAGACCAGAGAGCTGTGTATGGACATCAGGGATAAAATTGTAGACCTGCACAAGGCTGGGATGGGCTACAGGACAATAGGCAAGCAGCTTGGTGAGAAGGCAACAACTGTTGGCGCAATTATTAGAAAATGGAAGAAGTTCAAGATGACGGTCAATCACCCTCGGTCTGGGGCTCCATGCAAGATCTCACCTCGTGGGGCATCAATGATCATGAGGAAGGTGAGGGATCAGCCCAGAACTACATGGCAGGACCTGGTCAATGATCTGAAGAGAGCTGGGACCATTTACATTTACATTTACGTCATTTAGCAGACGCTCTTATCCAGAGCGACTTACAAATTGGTGCATTCACCCTATAGCCAGTGGGATAACCACTTCACAATTATTATTATTATTATTATTTTTATTTATTTTTTAGGGGGGGGGGGGGGGGGGGGGGGGGGGGGTAGAAGGATTACTTTATCCTATCCCAGGTATTCCTTAAAGAGGTGGGGTTTCAAATGTCTCCGGAAGGTGGTGAGTGACTCCGCTGTCCTGGCGTCGTGAGGGAGCTTGTTCCACCATTGGGGTGCCAGAGCAGCGAACAGTTTTGACTGGGCTGAGCGGGAACTATGCTTCCACAGAGGAAGGGGAGCCAGCAGGCCAGAGGTGGATGAACGCAATGCCCTCGTTTGGGTGTAGGGACTGATCAGAGCCTGAAGGTACGGAGGTGCCGTTCCCCTCACAGCTCCATAGGCAAGCACCATGGTCTTGTAACAGATGCGAGCTTCAACTGGAAGCCAGTGGAGTGTGCGGAGGAGCGGGGTGACGTGAGAGAACTTGGGAAGGTTGAACACCAGACGGGCTGCGGCATTCTGGATGAGTTGTAGGGGTTTAATGGCACAGGCAGGGAGCCCAGCCAACAGCGAGTTGCAGTAATCCAGACGGGAGATGACAAGTGCCTGGATTAGGACCTGTGCCGCTTCCTGTGTAAGGCAGGGTCGTACTCTCCGAATGTTGTAGAGCATGAACCTGCAGGATCGGGTCACCGCCTTGATGTTAGCGGAGAACGACAGGGTGTTGTCCAGGGTCACGCCAAGGCTCTTCGCACTCTGGGAGGAGGACACAACGGAGTTGTCAACCGTGATGGCGAGATCATGGAACGGGCAGTCCTTCCCCGGGAGGAAGAGCAGCTCCGTCTTGCCAAGGTTCAGCTTGAGGTGGTGATCCGTCATCCATACTGATATGTCTGCCAGACATGCAGAGATGCGATTCACCACCTGGTTATCAGAAGGGGGAAAGGAGAAGATTAGTTGTGTATCGTCAGCGTAGCAATGATAGGAGAGGCCATGTGAGGATATGACAGAGCCAAGTGACTTGGTGTATAGGGAGAATAGGAGAGGGCCTAGAACTGAGCCCTGGGGGACACCAGTGGTGAGAGCACGTGGTGCGGAGACAGCTTCTCGCCACGCCACTTGGTAGGAGCGACCGGTCAGGTAGGACGCAATCCAGGAGTGAGCCGCGCCGGAGATGCCCAGCTCGGAGAGGGTGGAGAGGAGGATCTGATGGTTCACAGTATCAAAGGCAGCAGACAGGTCTAGAAGGACAAGAGCAGAGGAGAGAGTGTTAGCTTTAGCAGTGCGGAGAGCCTCCGTGACACAGAGAAGAGCAGTCTCAGTTGAATGACCAGTCCTGAAACCTGACTGGTTTGGATCAAGAAGGTCATTCTGAGAGAGATAGCAAGAGAGTTGGCTAAAGACGGCACGCTCAATAGTTTTGGAAAGAAAATAAAGAAGGGATACTGGTCTGTAGTTGTTGACATCAGTGGGATCGAGTGTTGGTTTTTTGAGAAGGGGTGCAACTCTCGCTCTCTTGAAGACGGAAGGGACATGGCCAGCGGTCAAGGATGAGTTGATCAGCGAGGTGAGGTAGGGGAGAAGGTCACCGGAGATGGTCTGGAGAAGAGAGGAGGGGATGGGGTCAAGCGGGCAGGTTGTTGGGCGGCCTGCAGTCACAAGTCGCAGTCATCCACAGAGAGAGAGGGGGGGGAATTCAGCAGGGAGGAGAATGTGGCAAAGAGCTTCCTAGGGTTAGAGGCAGATGCTTGGAATTTAGAGTGGTAGAAAGTGGCCTTAGCAGCATAAACAGATGAAGAAAATGGACCGAGCCGGCCGGGAGGATAGGGGACACAGAGAGTCAAAGGATGCAGAAAGGGAGGAGAGGAGGGTTGAGGAGGCAGAATCAGGAGATTGGAGGGAGAAGGATTGAGCAGAGGGAAGAGATGATAGGATGGAAGAGGAGAGAGTAGTGGGAGAGAGAGAGCGAAGGTTGCGGCGACGCATTACCATCTGTGTAGGGGCAGAGTGAGTAGTGTTGGAGGAGAGCGAGAGAGAAAAGGATACAAAGTAGTGGTCGGAGACATGGAGGGGAGTTGCAGTGAGATTAGTAGAAGAGCAGCATCTAGTAAAGATGAGTTCAAGCGTTTTGCCTGCCTTGTGAGTAGGGGGGGACGGTGAGAGGGTGAGGTCAAAAGAGGAGAGGAGTGGAAAGAAGGAGGCAGAGAGAAATGAGTCAAATGTAGACGTAGGGAGGTTGAAATCCCCCAAAACTGTGAGGGGTGAGCCATCCTCAGGAAAGGAGCTTATCAAGGCGTCAAGCTCATTGATGAACTCTCCAAGGGAACCTGGAGGGCGATAGATGACAAGGATATTAAGCTTAAATGGGCTAGTGACTGTGACAGCATGGAATTCAAATGAGGAGATAGACAGATGGGTTAGGGGAAAAATTTAGAATGTCCACTTGGGAGATATGAGGATTCTTGTGCCACCACCCCGCTGACCAGATGCTCTCGAGGTATGCGAGAACACATGGTCAGACGAGGAGAGAGCAGTAGGAGTAGCAGTGTTTTCAGTGGTAATCCATGTTTCCGTCAGCGCCAAGAAGTCGAGGGATTGGAGGGTAGCATAGGCTGGGATGAAGTCTGCCTTGTTGGCAGCAGAACGGCAGTTCCAGAGGCTGCCTGAGACCTGGAACTCCAGGTGAGTTGTGCGTGCAGGGACCACCAGGTTAGAGACGCAGCAGCCACGCGGTGTGAGGCGTTTGTGTAGCCTGTGCGGAGAGGAGAGAACAGGGATAGGCAGAGGCATAGTTGACAGGCTGCAGCAAATGGCTACAATAATGCAGAGGAGATCGGAATGAAATGAACTAAACATCTGGGAAAGGAGAGAGCGGGCCTCCCTCACCACAACTCCCAAATATAACTCTCCCAACTTCCACCTCAGAAACTATAATTGTTGTAAACTACAGCGGTTCAATGTTTCTATGAATAGACTAACTCAGCTAGCTAACTAGGCGCAGCACGAACACACAGAGAGAGCCAAACTAACGTTAACTAGTCACCCATGTCCCGAATTCCCTGAACGACTCGGGCTATCAATATGTAAAAAACAAAACATAAATGTAGGTTATGACTTACCCCTAGCAGCTACTGTTAGCTAGCCAAGTGCGAAGCTAGCCACTGAATTGACTCAGCCAGTTCGCGTCTGTTCGCTAGGTCGTTCCAGCTATTGTTTACTAGTAGCTATCCAGGTAGCAACAAGCTAGCTAAATTTCAAGCACAGTAGCCACTTGCTACCTAACGTTAACGGTTCAGACATGAGGTTAGAAAACAGCTGAATGGTAGGCAATTATTGTATGTAATCATTGTAGGCAGCCAGCTGGCGTAACCACAGGCACTCCCAGGCGTGAAATAACTATACCGTTGCTAATTGCTACTCGCCAGCTAGTCCAGGTGGAGGGTTAGCCAGCTAGCTTCGTGCTACGCCCGGCGCCGCCGAATACAATACTAACCTACAATAATTACATACAACAACCCACGATAACTACGAACAATACCTAACTACAATCTAAATACATATGTAGGTTATGACTTACCCCTAGCAGCTACTGTTAGCTAGCCAAGTGCAAAGCTAGTCACTGAATTGACTCAGCCAGTTCGCGTCTGCTCGCTCGGTCGTTCCAGCTATTGTTTAGCAGTTAGCGTTAACGGTTCAGACAATGAGGTTAGAAAACAGCTGAATGGTAGAAAACAGCTGAATGGTAGGCAATTATTGTATGTAACTATTGTAGGCAGCCAGCTGGCGTAATTACAGGCACTCTCAGGCGTGAAACAACTATACCGTTGCTAATA